AATTATTAAAATTATTGAATAGTAAATAATATTGTTTGAAGAATTTTTAATGTGTCTTTAAACACTATTATTGCGTTATTCACTCTTTCATTTAATGGAATTACTAAATGATCTGTTTCGGGTAAAATTTAGATGTATATTGTATTATTGTGTAGGTTACTATTATTTCCATTTCATATTTATTTCCTATGAACACCATTGGGCTATCTTATACTCGTATATGTAGTTATTTGCGAAATATCGGTGTTATATTGTAAACATTTAAATTGTTTCCGAACTATTATATCTGACGGTGACTTATGTACATTGATTCAGATTTTTTTATTTATTTATTTTATGGCGTCTGTATGCTTCAAATTTCAATTCTTCTGGTCTTATTGGTACGAAAAAAGTGAAACTTCTTTATGGTAGAGTCTATTAAATTGTGCAATATATACAGTATATAATGGCCAAAAAGAAACTTTAATTGATTATATTATATCTGTACTTAAGAAGTTAAAGTTAGTCATCACTTTAATAATTTGCTTAAATGAGTCGTATCAATGATTAAAAAACTAGTCTTCCTAAATAATAGTAATTGAAATTAAATAATGCAAATGATTTTCCTAGTAGAACGTTGCCGTGACTTTAACAGAGATGTCTTTTTAGGTTTTATTGCTTTCGAAAAAGCTTTGCCACACTGTGCAACATGGCAAACTCATAGAAATTCTGAAGCATTGCAGATTAGATAAAAAGGATATCCGAATAATGGTAGACTTATACTGAAAACCGTACGCAAATGTTTGCATTGTTAGTTACTTCACGCAAGAAGTAGAAATAAAGCGCGGGGTTCACCAAGGGTGCATTCTGTCACCATTACTGTTCAATATATACTGTTCAATATAGACTATTTTCAGAGAAGCACTACACGATGCGACAGATGGAATTATGGTTAACTTATAAACAATATGAGATACGCCGATGATACAATGCTTTTTGCCGATTCAATAGAGGGCTTACAGAACCTTTTAGACGCTGTTGCATTAAAGTACAGAGAATACAGCTTACAATTAAATTGTAGTAAAACCCAATATGGTGGTGAGCAAACGACCAATTTCTAGAGGAAGATTGACAGCATTTGGTTCAGCCATAAAAAGAACCGATAAGTACAACTACTTGGGATGCTAGCTTAATGAGCAATGGGATAATAGTAAAGAAATACGTGTCCGAATTGAAAAAGCAAGGTCTTCTTTTATCAAGACGAAAAACTTGCTGTGTACCCGGCAGCTGTCATTCCCGCTCAGAATAAAAATGTTGCGGATATATTCTCGTATGCTGAAAATAAGCTGGACAGAAAAAATTACAAATACTGTGGTATGTTACTTCAACGTAAGTTGGAGTTTTTTGGTCATATTCTGAGGTATCCGGCAAAATTGAAGGCAGACGTGGCCAGGGAAGTCGAAAGATAGCATGGTTGAAGAATTTACGTCAATGGTTCGATAAAAGTACAAGGCACCTAGAGGAAAAAGATTGATTTTACTTCATAATACGGGTGAAGTTATTTTCAGCAAGGTACATCTTTTTACTTCTAAAGAATAATAAATAGGCTATATTGTATTGATAAATGTAACTCTTAGAAAAAGTCGTTCATTTCAATTATAACAGCAAACCATACATTTCATTGGTTAAGAGCAGTAATGAATCATGAGTTTTGTTGGCACGAATTTTATTTACCTAGGAGTTTTTGGAAAACAAAGCTAAATCATAAAGAAAATTACCTGTGCAACTTGCAGTGAAAGATTTTAAGCAGAATGCAGTAGGTGGTGCACTCACTAACGAAGTACAAATACAAACACAAATACAAACAGTGAAATAGATACAAATTGAAACAGAAAAGTAAATAAGAGAAACTCACCTGAAGATAGATTATGACGGGATGACATCGATAGATTTCTTGGCAGAGTCATGCAATCACCTGCGCTTGTTATGTTGCTAGACGAAAGCATATTGCCACGACTGTCGATTAGAGCTGCACTTATGCTACTACCACTGGTGTTATTAACACCGCCACCACCGCCGCCACCTGGGTTACGGCCGTAGTTCATGGAGTTGGTGTGATGGAGCGTGCCTGCCTTTGGCAATGTCATCATGCCTGCATTATAGCTGACAGAAACGTTGGCTGAGCTGCCAATTGCTGTGTTGGCACGATTAAATGTTTGCGTGTTACCAATGACACCGCTCATGCCTTTTATTTGCATATGTTCACGTTGTGCATTGGCTGATTGTTGTTGTTGTTGCTGCTGCTGTTGATGGTGGTGGTGCTGCTGCTGCTGTTGTTGCTGTTGTTTTGTAGATGTACTGTAAATAACACTACCCATACCGCCCGAGCCCAACATACCCGTAGCTACATCTGCACCACTGACCACATTGGCTGTGGAAACTTGTTTGCCCTGCATGCCACCACCACCACCACCACATAAGTTTACAGTGCTACTCGAATTACCTGCTCCAGCATTGCCGGTATTCGGGTTTGTTGATTGTGTCAGTTGCATACCAGTATTGGCGCATATATGTGGTGGCGGTGGTTTTACATCGCTTGCAGTTAGCAGTATGGCACCTTGATCCCCGTGATTTTCAACATCGACAATGACATTTGCACTCTGCGAATGTCCCATGTGATAGTGCGCATGTTTGATGGGATCGGGCGGATATGGCACTTGCTGATGCATATTACGTTGCTGATATTGCTTTTGCAAGGACTTGACTTCCAGTCGTGTCTTATCACGCTGATAATAAACGCCGGCAAAAATTAACACGTTCAGTATTAGCAAACTGCAACCTATGGCAATGGTCACACTTAATGCCGTCGAGTAAGCAGCATAGCCTGCCGCCTCAAAACCAGATGCCAATGTGTCCGTTGTAGCATTTGCGAGTGTGGTGGGTGCAAACACTCCTCCCGTGTAATTCCCACCGACCGGTATGCAAGTGGTGAACATGTTGGGCTCCATAGTTGTCACTGAAAGTAAAAAAAGAGAAAAGGTAATAAGAAAAGGGATAAAAAGGATAGAAGTGGAAAAAAGCGCAAATACAAGCAGGAGAATTGTAATGCAACTTGACAGTCATTTGAAATGAATGCATTAATATTTTCTGGTTTGTGCTACCTCAGTTGCACTCCCTGTTGCATGAAGGTACCAAGGTGTAAGGTAAGTGAGTAGTGAGTCAGCCAGGAAGACAGTACTTTGCTTGTCTTCTGCATAAGTAGTTATCCTTTTCGTTGCTGTGCTTTCACCTTCTGTTTTTTATTATTGTGTTGTTAAAACTTTTTTTTGCTTATTATGTAAAATTTTTGTTGGAGTTATTTTTTTTTAAATTTGTGCACTTAACTTTATTTCTGTTCAATGGTTTTTTTCTTTTTCCATTTCATTTGCAATGCAAAGTAAAATTTTATTTTAAAATGTTTTATTTTGCGACTATTTTTGCTATTTTTTTGTATTTATACAAATTTTGGAAAAGTGTTGAAACAAAAGTGCAATAATGCGCTGAGTGGGTCTGAAACCTCTTGTAGCAAGTGGATTTTACATGCTTAAGGTGTATCCTTACTTATCTAGGTATGTCTACACATTCTAATGGCAGGGATGTGAGAAGTAATGTATTTCGCCTGCTCATAAAAAGTTATGCTTGTATTCTTAGTGCTACTTGCTCACAGATACAGCTTTAGATACAGATACAAGTCAGCGAAAGGAAGAAGCAGTTAAATGGTTTTCCGTTTTCTTTTGATCCTTAATAACAATTTCTGGTATTTGCTAACGGAGAAAGGATTTGTGTAGTTTTTGTTTGTCTGCCTGTTAAGGTTGCCTTTAAATTCCAATTCTTATGTGTACAATACAATTTTTATACTATGTTTTATACGATTCTGACAATTGTATTTACAGTTGGAATATGAAACATAAACAGAAACAACGTAGGCTTCCAATAGATTGATGTGGGACTGCATGCATTGAATGCAAATCTATGATGCGCTAGTATTCACGCTGTATAAATATTTTTATGCAAAAGTCAAAACCACAAAAGCATTTGAAATTAAGTAAAAAATATATTGGATTTTGAGTTTCATACGTGCCTTCGTTATTCTAACTTACTGTATTTGATCACTTTTTCTATCACGCTTAAGAGCAATTTATCAGTTAGGAATTTTTCATTTTATTAATATGTAATATATTTGGAAGATTTTGGAAAGTTAAAAACTCTACTCTTAAAAAGCATTCTATTGAACACTTGTCCCTTGTAAGTTAGTTTAATAAAATCAGGTGTATGGTATTTGTCATCACAAGAGCCATTCATTGCCCCATAGGCCACTTCATTATTCACATGTATTTCATATCTAAACTTTTTCCTTCATAGCTAGTGCCTTCTGTTCGACAAAAAGTTCCAGATCTTACTGACTTTGGTCTTAGCAAAAAAATTAAACTATTAACAATCGCCGCATTTCCATCAGTTGAACTGTCATCAGACCACTCACCAACAATAATAACAGTACAATATCAACGAATAGAACTATCCAAACGCAAAGTCTAACGAAATATATAAACTGGTTAAAATTTCGTAAATATCTCTCTTGCCATATACCACAATATGCTTCGTTAAAAGAGAATAATGAAATTGATGCTAGTGTTAACCAATTTTCTGAAGTAATCTCAACGGGTGCGGAAGTAGCTTCGATAAGAACTGAAAAAACAACCTAAAAAATTGGTGTGACAAAAACAATAGAGGCATTTTAACAACGGAAGAGGAAAGCTAGAAGACTATGGCAACGACATAGATCCCCAAAACATAAAGTTCTACTTGCTAAATGTACTAATGAACTTAAATATGCACTAGCGGAAAGACATCAAAAATCCCTAGACAATTTTCTATACAAATTGGCACCTAATGAACAAACTGACTATTCACTTTGGAAGGCAACAAAGTACCTCAAACAGCCTATCCAGCATGAATCATCTCTCAGACTAGAAAATGGTGATTGGGCAAGAGGTGACTCTGAGAAAGGTTGTAAAACATTTGAAAAATGTATTTACTCCAAATGATGTTTCATATAACGCCTCTTTACCAATAACAAACCTATATCCCTCGAGCAGTGCGCTTATCTTTAAACTAGAAAATATCACTAAATTTATAAAAGATCTCAATGCGAAAAAGGCAGCAGGACCTGATAAAATCACAATTGCAATGGTGAAACAGTTACAATGTGCCATTTTACATCTCAGGCATTTATATAACGCTATCTTACGGACAGGTTATTATCCCAAACTTTGGAAAATGTCACAAATAACAATGATACCTAAAGCTGGGAAGGACAAAATCAAAGTAGAATCTTACAGAACAATTAGCGTCCTTTCAGTGTTATCAAAAATATTTGAAAAGCTGCTAATATAATTCTCAGCTCACGAAATAATTCCGGAATATCAATTCGGCTTCAGAGCTAAACATAGTACAATTGAACAAATGCATCGTATTGTATCATTCGTTAGAAACTCATTTGAAAATAAACAATACTGCACTTCTATATTTATAGATGTAGCCCAAGCGTTTGATAAAGTATGGCACGAAGTCTTAATACATTACAACACCTCATGCCAGCTAACACACTCACCGTTTATTAAAAAACTACTTAAGTAAAAGCAGTTTTAGTTTAAGATATAAAGACTTTGTTTCAGAACCTTGTCCTATCAAAGCAGGAGTTCCTCAAGGAAGTGTAATAGGTCCGCTATTATACCTACTGTATACAAGTGATATGCCAATTTCAAAAAACACTTTAAGTGCAACATTTGCTGATGATACAGCAATACTAAGTGCACACAAAAACCCCACAATCGAACAACGCATGCTTCAAGACCATGTTCACCAACTCGAGCAATGGTTATCAGTATGGCGTATCAAAGTCAATGAACAAAAATGTACCCATGTAACGTTTGCTCTCATATCATAGCTTACCAGGTAACATCCAAACTGGTATGGGAATGCATTGACAAGCTGAACACACTCGGTGGGATCAATCAGGTGCACCTTTTATGGATTCCGGGACATACTGGTATCCAAGGTAATGAAATGGCAGACAAACTTGCAAGAAGAGGCGCGGCATCAAGAATGATAGGCCCAGAACCATTCTGTGGTCTAGGCAAAGGAGCTCTATCCATTATCATGAATGACGCAGAGAAAAAAGAGAGAGAACTCTATTGGTTAATGCTACCAAGACTCTCACAATCTAAAATGATTTTAGGGACTTACAACCTAAAACGCTTTAAAGATTGCATAGTGCAATCAAAGACTAACATAAGAATTATTACGGGATTACTGACCGGTCACTGCAGATTAAATAATCACCTATCGAAGTTAGGAATTCAATCCAACTCAGACTGCAGATACTGCAGGGAAGAGAGAGAAACGGCATACCATGTGCTTGGGGAGTGCCCGGCACTGATGCATAAACGAAAGAAACACCTAGGAGGGTATTTCATGGATCATAAGGATTCAAGACTGGGGAAGATAGGACCCATACTGTCTTTCATTAAAGAAATCGGACTTGGAGAAATACTCTAACCCGACAAAGGGGCACAATAGATCTTTCAGGTCGCAGTGCACGATCCCTTACTCAATAATAATAATAATAATAATAATAACGTTTGCTCTAAGATCAGGAAACTGTCCCAATATTACAATAAATGAGCAAAAAGTACCTTCGAGCGACTATGTAAAATATTAAGGGATACATCTAGATATACGTTTAACTTGGAATAATTACATAGAGGCTAAAAAGACACAAATAAATATAAAATTAAGTTCATTGCATTGGCTTATGGGCACGACATCTAAGCTACTACTTGAATACAAAATTCTGTTATATAAGTCGATAATAAAACCTATATGGAGTTATGGAATTAAACTGTGGGGAACAGCGATGTCATCAAATATTGAAAAACTGCAAAGGCTGCAATCAAAAGCTCTAAGAATGATAACAATTGCACCGTGGTTTATGAAAAATGCTAACGTTCATAGAGATTTGAGCGTGCCAACAGTAGTAGAAGAAGCTGCTCGATGTAGCCGTCAGCACCTCTTAAAGTTAGAAGATCATCCTAACCAATCAGCTTACATGCTGCTACTGAACAAAGGCCACAGACGTCTATAAAAGAAGGACACCATCAACATCTGTTAACTTTCTAAACTTTTATTTGATTTAAAATATTATAAATTTATTTAATTGAATTGAATGTATTTTTTTTTCAATTGAATTTTAATTTTAAATTAATTTTAGTTTTTAATTTTAGTTATATTTTTAATCTTATCTTATTATAAATAATTCAATGTCTGTCTAAATAGTTTTTTCCAAAGCAATGGCTTAGGGAAAAAAATAAATTTAGTTTTAAGATTTGATCCATTTATTGTTAGTTTCGTTTTTTAGAAAGATTCAATAAATGATTTATTAATTTAAAAAAAAAAAAACTACGCCATTCACTCCCTTGAACATTTCGGCAATATTATAACAACGACGTACCAGATCTGTGCGAATGTAGACGATATTGCAGTCATTGCAAAGAGCGAAAGGGATCTATCAAATGTCTTTAAGAAGTTAGACGAAAGCACTTAAAAAGTTGGTCTGAGAATAAATGAAAGTAAATCGAAATACCTCAAGCTAACGAGAAGGAACGAGAGTACGGATACACGCAACACCGCAATTGGTGAATACAATTTTAAGATTGTTAGCAACTTTACATACCTTGGTGCGGTAATTAACAACAACGCAATAAGAGCTTCATTGTGACGCTCTGGAGCAATCTTCTAAGGCGTGCACACAGATGATAGCCGCTAAGAGCCAGATCTGAAAAGTACGGTATATGTGGAGGCACTTTAAAGTGCAATTTATGAGATTTGTGCTGTAACGACACTTTTGGTGACGTTCAAAA